CTCCCTGGCTCTCTTTCCTGCTTAGATATGCTTCCATCTCATTTAGCACCATCTGATTTGCTTGCGTATTTATTTATTTATTATTTATTTTCTGTCCACGTCAACCAACATGTGAGCTCCACGTGGGCAGGGTTCCTTTCCCTTTTGTTCACTGTGTGCCACCAGCTCTTAAAATAGCAGGCATTGGTGAATGCGTGTTGAGTGAAAGAACAGAGAAATGAATGACTGAGCCTTGCTCTGTCAAGATGGTACGGCGGGGGAGAAGGAACGTCAGGGGGGATTTAGAGAGACCATGTGACTCATCTAAGGTCATATGTAACCTTGAGGTGTGGCTAGCACTCACCTCCCTGAAGACCCCTTGTCCCTCACCGCCCTCTCGTGCTAGAGATTTCCTGATGCTTCTTGGCTCTCCTGGTCTCACATCATGTTCACCCAACCTAGGTTTTTTTCTCCCTCAGGGGCAGATGGGAACGGAGGAAAGGAAAAGGGAATCGAGCGAGTTGGGCCTCTTGACACTGCTGATGAGATAGAGATGGGAGAGGCTTGTGGGGGAGGGCTGGGAAGTGGGTAGTCAGTCATATTCCACCCCACAAAGACAGTGGGTCAGGGGAAGTTCAATGAAGAACATCCATGCAGTATCCTCCCACTGCTTCTGATCCACCAACCCAAGACCTTTCTCGGATGGAGAAACTGAGGCCCGGAGAAAGGAAGTGACTTCTCCAAGAATGCAGAACAAGGCAATGACAAATACTGCAGTCCTAGTCTGGAGGTTGCAAGAGCATCTTGGGAGTCCTGATTTGCTGTCCCTGCCTTGGTACCCGTCCTTGTCCCAGGGGAAAGGCAGATGGAGCATCCTTTCAGCTCAGACCCTTGAGGACAGCACAGACTTTCAGCTCTTATCCACTGTGAAGCTGAGGGTACTGCCAGATAGGGACAGGCTGAGCAGACTCTGAATAACCCCTTTCCCAGGCAACCCCATTTTTACCTTTAGCTACATGTACCCTTAATCCCTTGGTAACTCACATTCATGTGTTAAGGGACTGCAGTGGGCCAGGTGATGTAGCAGCCATTGGAGGGAATCTCTCACCCTGTCATCTTCTTCATTCATCCATCAGCTTATTTCAGTAACTATTTCCGCTGCTGAGGGAGTGCAGCCCTGTGGATGAGCCCTGATGTCTAGACTGAGAGTTTGGGGGATTGGAACCTGACTTGGCCACTTGCTGGCTGTGGGAACTTGGTAGGTCACAGAAGCTCGACTTCCTTATCTATGGAATGGGGTTAATAATAGCAACCCCCATCTCTTGAGGAGTAAGATGTTTGGCTCCTGAGGAGGGTCAAATGAGTAGGTGTTTGGAGTAGCACCTGACATAGACAGGACTCAACCATCATCTCTTACCACCCATACTGTTTTTATGTGCCTGACACTGTGCCACAACCAGAGGAAGCTGCTCCAAAATATTCTTTTTTGTTTGCTTGTTTGTTTTTGTTTTTTTCTAGACAGGGTTTCTCTTTATAATCCTGGCTGTCCTGGAACTCACTCTGTAAACCAGGCTGGCCTTGAACTCAGAAATCTGCCTGCCTCTGTCTCCCAAGTGCTGGGATTAAAGGCGTGTGCCACCACTGCCCGGCTCCAAAATATTCTTGTTCCAGGAAACCCTGAATGTAAGCCTTGGTCCAGCCTCTGACCTTTGGCTCCTGCCCTACTGCCCTAAGCCTGTTCTGTAGAACTGTCTCAGCAACAGTCCTATGGGGATGGTCTCAATAGAGTTCCAGATCTATCCCCAGCTGTTCTGCCTTCTTGCTTTCATGGGGCCCTGATGGATCGTCTCCGTTAGGAAGCCAAGAACCAGGGAACAAGCCTAATACAGTATAGAGACAGAAATAGACTGTAGGTAGAGAAGGGGTTCAGGTAAGGAGAAGGACCTTTGGGGAATGTCGGTCTTATCTTCCTGGGTTACTAATTCCCTCTCAGACTACCTTGGTCCTCTGCCTATAGAATCAGACCCTGTGATCCAGGTATGCTTATGATCTCAGCACTTGGGGTTGGGGAGAGGCAGGAGGATGTGAGTTGGAGGTTAGCCAGGGCTACACAGTGAGAATATGCTAAAAAGAAAGTAGACAGGGGATGGCCCTGGAGGGATGGCTCAGTGGATAAGAGCACTTGCTGCTTTTGCAGAGGACCCAGGTTCAGTTCTCAGCACCCACATGGCTGACAACCATCCATAACTTCAGTTATAGGGATCCAATACCTTCTTCTGGCTTCAGTGGACACCAGGCATGGGTGTGGTACATAGACATACATGCGGAACGCTTATACTGATAAAATAAAATTTTGTTGTTGCCGTTGTTTTCAAGACAGGGTTTCTCTGAATCCTTAGCCGTGCTGTCTTGCCTCCTGTTAGGATTAAGAAGGCATGCACCACCACCACTCAGCAAAAGTAAAAGTGTTTTAAATATTTATTTTTTTATAAAAAGTCAGTGGTGGTGCACGCCTTTAATCCCAGCACATGGGAGGCAGAGGCAGGTGGATTTCTGAGTTCAAGGCCAGTCTGGTCTACAGAATGAGTTCCAGAACAGCCAGGGCTCCACAGAGAAACCCTGTCTCGAAAAAACAAACAAACAAACAAACAAACTAACTAACTAACTAACAAAACAACAACAAAAAAGAAGGGCCAAAGATGTGGCTCACTTGGTAGAGTGGTTGCCTGCTATGCACAGGGCCTTTGGTGTAACTCCTAGCATCACATAAACTGGGTATGGTGCTACACATGTAGGAGGTAGAGGCAGGAGAATCAGAAGATCAAGGTCATCCTTGGCTACTTGACCAGCTTGAGGCCAGTGTGAGCCAGAGACCGATGAAAGAAAGAGAAGAAAGAGAAATGGGGGCTTATAAATAGGAAACAGAAAAGAAAGGGAAAAAGACAAAAGGGGAAGCTCAAATCCTGTGATGTCTGTGGGTTAGTGACAAGGACAGTGTCCATGCCTGGACACTGTCCTGTGCCTCCGATGTGCTCTGTTGGGTACCTCTGGCAGCCCTTGCTTCTTCACTTCCATGATAACCACACAGTAGGTGCTTCAGCTCTTCCAGTGTGTAAATGGCAGTCACTGGCCCTGAATGTCTCTGGCTTGCAAGCATCTACAGAGCCTGGAGAGCAGCTAGTGGCTGAAGGCTTGCACTCTGTCTACCACCCTGAGAACCTCAGGCCAGGCAGCTCAGCTACAGCAACAGCAGCAGCAGCATGTGTGTGTGTGTGTGTGTGTGTGTGTGTGTGTGTGTGTGTGTGTGTAATGTGTGTGTATGTATAATGTGTGTGTATGTATAATGTGTGTGTATGTATGTATCTGTGTATATGTCTGTGTGTTAGAGATGGAGAGACAGAGACAGAGACAGAGAGGATCAGAGAGAATTTGAACCAGGATCTGACTCAAAGCCAGCATCCTTCCGCTGCTATGCAGAGAGCAGCAGAAAGGACACGAGAGGCCCCCAGGTCACAGATTCTGGACTATGTTTTCAGAAACTGGCGGTAGAAAAAGACAGGGATGTCTGGTCAGGTACTGGGACTGCACGACATCTGATATGCAACTGGGCTTTGAGGCTGAAGCATGCAGGTGCCTGAGTTCAGTTAGGGTCTCCCATCTGACCAGAGCCCTAAGCTCGCTCTGGGAAAAAGTGTGGTCTGTGGGCCTTCATAGCTTTGGCTACCAGAGCTTAGAGCCATGAGAATGGATTTCAAGCTTGGGAGGACCCTTTCCATCACTGCTGAGAGGGACTGGCCTTCTCCTGTCCATATAGATGGGCCCAGGGGCTGTGAAGGCCTCAGATCCTTGACTTGTAGCTGTTAAGAATGCTAGCTATAACTCTAGACTTGGTATCAAGCTTCCTTGTCTTCAACTCTAGACTACACTCTAGACAGACCAATACCTACTACTAGACACTTAGGTGGCGGTGCCTGCTATTGTGTTTATGAATCCCTGTGGCTCTGGGGCACCCAAGAGCTATAGGCCTGCTGGGACCCCTGCTCTATCCCCGTCTTGGTTGGAACCCTTCCTCCTTGGGAGAGAGCTTTGAATTAGAGGGTTCCTGCCAACCCCTCCCTCCTGGCTTGGCAGCTTGAAGACAAAGCTAGCCAAAAATATTTGTGTGGGTGGCGGAAAGTTAACTTTTCCGCCTCTCTCTTCTTTCCTGGAAACCGTGGCCACTGTCAAATACAGCAAAACAGAAGCAGAGATGGAGCGGGTGAGGCCCCCACAGGGAGTCAGAGAGCTCTGCCCCCGCCCTTCACCCACTCCTGCTGCCTCCTGCCATCTGGTTCTGTGACAGGATAGGGGTGGGTGGCTCTGAGTACTGAAAATCACGGGTCTGTGATGCCAGAGTCCTATGGCCCTTCTAGCACTGACTGCTTGAGTTGCATTCTGACCTTGGAGAAAACTGACTCCAGAGGGTGGGAGAATCCTGGCCAGGCTCATGCAGAAGCTACTAGCCCCTTTATGAGACTCTAAAGCCTTTGAGATTCCAGTAGCAGGAATCTGGCAGCTGCTGGTAAGCAAGCAAGGTCCTGGAGAGGATTGGAGACCTAAAGCCATCATTATCAGCCTCCTGATGAAAGTGTTGGCCGGGCGGTGGTGGCGCACGCCTTTAATCCCAGCACTTGGGAGGCAGAGGCAGGTGGATTTCTGAGTTCGAGAGTTCGAGGCTAGCCTGGTCTACAGAGTGAGTTCCAGGACAGTCAGAGCTACACAGAGAAACCCTGTCTCGAAAAACCAAAAAAAAAAAAAAAAAAAAAGTGTCAGAGCTACTTATGATTCCCAACTGGGACACTTTACTTAGCGGAGCCTCATTTTCCTTCCCCCTGGGATGATTTGTGAAAGCATCTGTCTGACACTTGAGGTGTTTGCCTGAGTGAACACCCAGGATGGAGTGGGTACCTGTTCCTGGGAGCTCCCTTCTTTCCAGACCCTGCTGTGTGGATTAATAGGTGCTTGTTTTCCTTTCTGACCAGGGCACGTGTTTGCCTTTCCCCTGCTTGGCTCTGATTTGCCAGAGGTTTTGGTAGTGTGCTTATCTGCCAGTCTGCCTACCAGTCTCTCCTGTCACGCCCCCAGCTAGAAGCCAGCACCTCTACTCAGACTGCTACAGTTGGGATGTCTGGCTCCTGCCTGGAATAGAGGCCTAAGGACCGCAGATGATCAGGTTTGGTTCCACTCTCATCCAGCTGGTAGGCTTCAATAAATTCTCATCAGCCTGGGGCAGTCAGGACGTGAGTGTGTGCACGAGGGAGCCCCTTCTGTGTCTCCTAATAGAGAGTTCACATGGTTAAGCAGTGGCAGAATGAAGTCTTTCAACAGAATCCGTTTGCTCTGTGCCTCCACACATAACTGGCAGGGTGCCCTGCCTTAAGGGCTACCTGCTCAACCGAAAAGGTCTTGTTCGTGTCATACTCTGCATCTCCTCAAAGGATTCCCAAACTTTTGACCCCAGTGTAGGACTCTCCCATTCTCTGGGACCCTGCAGGGATCTGCCCACTGCACATCTCCACCCCCTGGAAATCTAAAGATCAGACACCCCCTTGTTTCACTAAACACTTGCACCTTCCTGTTTGTTCCCAACCTCCATGAACACAGTCATGTGTCCTCAGAGCCAGGAACCTGCGTGGCACCCTGTGTGCCTCCCCCTTCTCCACCCACCTCTCCATCTGCCAAGCTCTGCAGCTCTTCTGTCCAGTACCCTCCATTCATCCCCTCCTCCTCAGCCCTTAGAAGAAACTTCCACCTTCCCCTGATTATCATCCTTTGTCACGTTTACAAATAATTATACTATTATTACTATTTCCTCCTCATTCACAGCTCTCCCTAACACTGCAGTTCCCAACCCGTCGAATGACCCTTTCACAGGGACCCCAAGACCGTCAGAAAACACATCACGACTTTTTTTTCTTTTTCTTTTTTTTTTTCCGAGACAGAGTTTCTCTGTGTAGCCCTGGCTGTCCTGGAACTCACTCTGTAGACCAGGCTGGCCTTGAACTCAGAAATCCACCTGCCTCTGCCTCCCAAGTGTCGGGATTAAAGGCGTGCGCCACCATTGCCCGGCCACATCACGACTCTTAACAATAGCAAAATTACAATTTGATGGTTGGAAGGAGGGTCACCACACCATGAGGACCTCTATTAAAGGGTCACAGTATTAGGAAGGTTGGGATCCATTGCACTAGCAGATATTGAAACTTCATGATCTAGAGAACCATACCTTCATCTGCCCTATATGCCTGAGGAGAGCTTACGATGTCTGAAGTAGAATAGGGGCCTGATACACTATTGTAGGATATAAGAGTAGCCCGCATGAAATAAGTGACGGCTTCAGAGAGTGTGCTCAGTGGTCTGTGAGCATTTTCTCATAGAACCCTTTACACAATTAAACTGGAGTTGATCTTCCATTTGAAGTGCCTGGGACCAGAAGGCTTTCAGATTTTAGACTTTTTTAGATTTTTTCTTTGGGGGGAATTTGCATATGCATAATGAGATAGCTTTGTGGATAAGAAGAGGAATCTAAAATTAAACTGAATTTCTGTTTTGTCCATATCTTATACCCAAGCCTGAAGGCTATTTTAGATGATTTATTTTGTAAACTGTGCTTTCATGTTTACTGTGACTTTGTCCCCAAGTCCAGGGATGGGATTTGGACTGGTGGCAGCAGGATGCTGCTCAGAAAGTTTTGGGGTTTGGGGTTTTCCGATCTGGATTGCTCAAACTAGCTTACAATGTGCATCTTACAAATGGGGGAGGGGAGACTCAGATACCAACACACACGCTGCGGGGCTGAATTCTGGCTCAAAGTCCAGCACGTATAAAGAGAGCATTGTGTTGGCTTTTATAACCAGCTGTGTACTCTAGTCTTGTACCCCCCCAACCCTGCTGTCCCTGCGAGTCCTGTGGTGTGTGTGCCTTTGGTGGGACATGAAAGAATTCTTTTTGGGTGGTGCACAGATGAGTATTTTAAAATAACTAGATATTTATTTAATGTGTGCAGGGAAGGGGATAACTTGGCATGATACGCTTGTGGTTTTCCTGCAATTATTGCTCAAGATAAGTCTAAAGTAACAGAAGTTATGTTATTTAAAGTGGATTGAAGGGAAACATTAAGTAAATAAGTGTCAGGTAGCCTAAGAACAAAGGCATGAATAGCATACTACAAGCCTGAAACTCCGGAAACACTTCCCTGTGGAAGAGTGGGAACTGTACCCCAAGTCCTAGCCAGCTCTTGAGGCTAGTTACTCAAGAGTGAACAGGTCACAGTGATTCCATTCAGAAGATTCAGTGAGCTTTCTGATATATTGTATCTTCTCTTCCTAAACAGATAGTCCGCTCTGAAGGGGCCATCATAGCAGAATTCAGGAGGGTAAGGAAAAGGTATTGGACTGCATCATTACCCAGCCCAGAAAGGACTTGCCTTACCCCTCAGCTGGATCTCACTCCAGCCCTGTGCGTCAGCAGAAGAAGGTGAACCTTCGGAGAACCCAAGGAGGCCTTGAGAGGACCTGGGAGCAATAGTCACACAGGTCACTCAACCTGAGCCAGGTGGCGGCTGCTTTGTACTGCCAAGGAGAGGGCTATAATGCTGGGCACTCACTTCCCACCCCCGCCCCTTGGACCCAGTGAGGGAAGGGCCGCCCCTTGCACCTTCCAGATCCCTGATGGGAGCTACAGGTGCCTGGCTCTGGAAGCTGAGGAGAGCAGTAGTGAAGATGGCCTGCAGGGAGAGGTGAGGCTGGTGGACCTGGAAGAAGAGGGGACCAGCAAAAGCAGAGCCAACCGTGGGACACCACCGCTATCCAGAGCCCCAGCCATAATCCAGCCATCCAGCTGTTGCAGGGAGGCACGAGGTGGTTTCCAGCACAATGACAGGCCAAGCCATGACTGGGATGTGGTACAGGCCCGGAAAGTGATGACAGCCAGTGCCAGCAGCAGCCCTGTGCCCAGGGTGGCCCAGAAACCAGGTAAGCTTATAGGTCATAGAAAACCCCACTGCTTCTTAATCAGGGACTCTTGGAGCTTATTTTCCTAGGATGTTTAACGATCATCACAAGTCATCCAGAATGTCCAGATCTCCAGCTGTGGAGAGATGGGAACCTGGGCTGGATGTGTAGTTCCAGCTGTTTGTCAAAGAGAAGGCAACAGAAGAGAGCCCATATCTCACTTGGTTGACAAAAAACCCACTCCTCCCCACCCCCACCTGCCCTTTGACCATTACTGGTAACAAATTTTGAAGTCCCAAGTATTTGATAGGGGCAGGCCCCCCTCATTGAGCCTACAGAGCTCAATGAGACAAACAGACACCCTGACAGAGAGGACATTAGCTCCCAGTTGCTGACAGGGCAGCCTTTCATGTAAGCTGACCTCAGTGGGGAAACTGAGCCTCAAGCATATTGAGCGTGCTCTGGTCTCTCAGCATATTGATGGCTGAGCTAGGCTTAGGGTCCTCACTCAAGCTTGGGTTTTCCATCTGTCAGAGATGGATGACAAAGGAACCGGCCGTGTCACCTGGATTGTAGCAGGATCCAATGACAGCTTGTGGAGGGAGGAGGCCTAGGGCCCATGAGTGCTGGAGTCTGCAGAGCAGGCAGGATGAGACAAGGGAATCCACTTTGAATTGTGGCTGGCCAGTGGCGGTGGAAACACTGTAGGGGGTTCAAACTGAGGCTGGGATAGCCATGAGCTGAGCCACATCTGCACAGGCAGGAGAGCTGCTGCCAGCAGGTCCCCAGGGTGCAGAGTGGAGTGGGGGCAGTGCAGTCCTGGGAGGGCTTGTGCGTCAAGAGACTGAAGGAACACTTCATTTCTCTGCAGGCGTTGCTGATGCCAGAGCTGGCATCTTGCCAACCTTCTCACCCACTCTGCTTTCTGCAATAATTCTCTCCAGGCTCTGATCATCCTCTTTGGACATAGTCCTTACCCAGGCATGGGTTATACAGAGAGAAAGAGCCAGGCAAGGGCAGTAAGGAGCTTTTAGGGGCTCTAAATGGAGAGGAGGATTCCAGAGTCAGCCTGAATACGGGTCCTCAGGAACCTGAGTCCCATTATGACTTGCTCCCTCCCCTTACCAGGGGATCAGCTGGCTCAGGAGGCAGGGATGATGGGTCTCAGCCCAGTGTTCACTAGTCAAGCCCTAGCAAGTCCCTTCTCTTTGGTGAGCTCATTTTTTTTTTTCAATCTGTGAAAATAGAATAAAAACAGGAGCTGTTGAGAGGGTGCCGCGATCTTAGCTGTGGCTATGTTTTGGAAAATCTACAGTGCTCTAGGTAGCTGTGTAAAATGAAATGCAAACAGTCATTATTAGCTGAACAGTACAATCGCTGTCGGCTGAGCTGTGTGCAGAGTCTGCTGTGCTAACAGCATCAGTGTATGTCTTTGTGCAGTCTCCCAGAAGAGCCCATTAGACAGCTTAGGAACATAAGTGACTTGTCCAGGATGTGACTAGCATGTTCAGCCATGGTTGTTTGACTATGGGGCTTGTGCTACTCCTTATGATTCTATTCTGAAAGTGTGCTTTCAAAATACCTTGGAATGGTAGCGACTGTGGCTGGGGGGGGGGAGGAGGAACGATCGCCTTTGATCGCCTTGTTGGCATCTCACACCCAGTGGGTCATTTGATGCGACCTCACTTTCTGTCTTACGGTGAGAGAACTGAGACTCGGAGATTCAAGTCACCTGTCCGAGGTACACAGTCATTGTCAGCGTGCCCTTTACATAAACTGCCCAATTCAGCTATCTCTTTGCTGTTCATCCAGTTGGTCTGAACATTCTAGAGACAGAGGGGCAGGAGGGGGCCTCAGGAGAAGAGACAGGTAAGACACTTCTCAGAGGAAGCTGGCTCTTGCTGAGAAGTGGAAATCTGGGTGGTCTTGGATCTAAGTCTCAATGGCCTTTCTGCTCCCTGGGGATAGGGAGTGGCGGGTCCTTTCCCTCTGCTGGAGAGTGAGAGGGAATGAAGCCTGGGGAATGCTGCCAGGTTATTAGCAGCTTAGGGTTTCCTCTCCAAGCTTCCTCTCATTACTGAGAGGATCATAAGCATCTTCAGACAATCACACCCATCCTTCCGCTATTAAACCTGGCTTTCTGGAGTGCTGCTTGGCAGACTCATGTCCAAGCCATTTATCTGCCTTGGGCACCGTGCAGATCTTTATTTGGGATTAGTGGGTGCTGGTAGCAGCTGAGCTGGGCAGAGCAGGGTCTTTGTCAGGCAAGAAGAGGCTGCAGCCTCACGTTCAGGTAGCTGAGAGAAGTCTGATATAGGAAGATGATCAGGCCTCTGCCAAACACTAGATCACCCACAGTTCACCAAGAAAGAGCTCTGTACTCCAGCCCTCTCCTCTACAGTCTCAGCTGATGGAACCTGGCAGAATGTTGAGCTTGCTGTGTCAGTGGAGACAGAAGCAGAGAAACGGAAAACGGTTTGTGCAAAGTCACACTGTACATTGGAATCCAGGCTTCTGGGACTCTTTTCAGCTTCGTGTACAGATTACTTCATTGTATCCTCAGAATATAAAGTTCAGACATGACACTGCCTCCTCTTCTTCCTCCTCCTCTCATCCTCTTCCTCCTCTTCCTCCTCCTCTCCTCTGCTTTTTGCCTCCCCCCCCCCTATTTTGAGACAGTTTTGCTATGCAAACTTGCTGGCCCAAAATTTGCTAAGGAAGCTTGATCTGCTGCCTCTCCAGTGCTGGGATTACAGGCACGCCTTCCATACTTGCTTTCTCATTTCTGTTTTCCAGACAAGGAAACTAGGCATCCAGAGACTTGTGACTTGAAGTCTCATAGCCTGTAGATGGGGGAACTGAGATTTGAACCCTGAGAGGTCTTGAGCCTATGCTTTTAAATAACTCTTTTTGCTGCTTTGTCTCCATGGAAACAAGGAAGCAGGCTGTGATCTTCCACCCACCTGAGGCTGGAAAATGATTGTTCAGGTTCTGAGAGTAGGTGGGGGATCGGGCCAAGCCACATTCCTCTTCCTCATAACATAACGGGGAGACCTGTGATCCACTGCTGACCTAGCTTCTCCTTTATCAGTGGCCATTTGATGAGGAGGAGTATCTAGAGGACTTGGGGGCCTTTGCCACTCTTGTAGTAGACACTGCCTTGAACCTCGGATGGGCACGAGGATTGGAGTATGGGTGTGGCTTGTAAGATAGGTCTGGCTTCATCCATCTTTATTAGCAGAGGAAACTGAACCACATTCATTTCATTAAGCAGAGGTCAGAGAGAGTCATGGCCCCTGTCCCTTAGGCTCTTCTAGGGAAGAGCAGATGACACAGGAGGCTGGGTACACCATGATGTAGGCATGCCATATTCTCAGACAAGTGCTATCTATGACCTTTAAGTTTACACATATGTAAATGCCCTCAAACCCTGGCATATATATGTACAATGGGCATACACTGGGATACACCCTCCCAAACAACCCCTCATCCATCATTCCACAGTACATGTGGACAGGTGTCTCGGGTTCGTTTGTATAGCTCCTATCCCACCTTAGGGCATGGAGCAGACACTCGTAAGTGTTCTCACTCAAGTACACAGAATGTCTCCTGTAGACATGGGTTAAACCATGTTCTTTTCTTCCTTTCTTTTGCTAAACACTCATGGTCTCTCCTGTACAGCCACTGTCACACTCCCACATGCAGACTGAACCACTTTCTCCCTCCCCTTCTTTTTCTCATCTCTTTCTCTTTTACAACCACCCACGCAGTAATCCTAGTTGCTCTCTCTCTCTCTTCCTCTCACCCACACACTCTGTTTCCTGGATTTCCACAGGCTGGGCAGCAGCCACCTCCCCAGTGCATGCATTGGGAGAAAAGCAATCTCTTGCCTGGTGCCATCTCCAGGATAGCTTCTCGTCCCTCACTCGGCACAACAGAAGAAGGACCACAGGTCAGGGAGATGCCCACGAAGCTAGGCAGAGAGATGGAAGGGGCCAGAGAGGATTTGTCTCCTCAGTCAGCTGACTGCTTGCATTCAGAGCCAGGGGCAGCCTTAAACAAGAACATCTTTGGGTCTGTGATTTAAGAAATCGGGTACATTTCTAAGTTCCTTTATCGGAAACCTAAACACAGTTCTTGAAGACAGGTGACACTGGAATCACCCTGTCTGAAGTGATTGATGAGTGTGGTCTTCCTTCAGACTTGCTGGGGGATACAGAGGTGCTTGTTAACCAGTCTTGTTTCCAAGTCCACCAACCGCTCCCCACAGAATCTGCACTGGAATGTGCGAATATAGACTTTTAACAGCAGTGAGAGTGGTGTTCCCACTGAAACATTGTGACAATTGTCATGGCCTCTGCTGAGCTCAGCCTGAATGGTGTTTTGTAAAAGTTGGGGAATCAAAGCTACGTACAGACCACACAGCATCTCTGCCCTTGTTGCTGACAGCTAATTAAGTCAGGGGGAAAGCCAACAGGCTCCCAATGCATGCACTGGGGAGGTGGCTGCTGCCCAGCCTGTGGAAATCCAGGAAACAGGCTGACAGTCCTCCTCAAGCCTCTTTGCTTAAGCCCTACCAAAGAAGACAGTTATTATATAGTTACCGGGCTGAGACAAGTGGAGTGGGGTGTCACGGTTATCACTTAAGGGGATAGATTTTAAAGGAGGGTAGTAGGGGGAGGGAAAGAGAAAGGGGCAAAGAGATGGCGGGGCATGGAAAAACTGAGTGTGAAAGAATTTAAGGGCAGAATTACAGACCTAGAGATACACAGCAAGATGAGGAAACAGAGGAACAGGGGCAGCCACAAGTGAGATGCGTAGAAAGGACCCGAGGAGAGATCGGGAATCCGCCAGGAGGTGAGGCCTCGGCTACAGGGGGGAAGGGGGGAAGGTCGTACCCCGGGGGCTGGGCGGGGCGCAGGAGGGGCGGCGCTAGGGCCCGGGGGAGCGCTCGGCAGGAGAGCGGTGCCCGCCCAGCGCCCGCTGCTCCCGCTTGGGTCCCCTTCAGCCTCTAGCGGCTG